TACTCCAAACAATCCTCTTCCAAAGTGCCTCTCTGAAAAATATTTAGCAGTCTTTATTTTTTTCATCAAAAATTAAAAATAACAGAGATCAATGAAATGTTTGGCAAACAATTAATGCAAGCAAAAACTTCGGGTTGGAAAATGTTGCAGCTGCAGGACCGCAGCCCCCACCCCTCACCTCCACCGCTCAGCCCTCCTTCCGGAATCTACTGCAACACTGACTGCGAAGTGCAGAAATCAATGAGAACTAATCTTTGATCAAAACGACTCTTCAGAGAGCATAACAAACAATCGATGTTTGTTCGCTAGGTAGTTAGCTAACCAGCTGGCTAGATCACATCAAGATTATTGCTTTAGAGTTACGAGGCAGACGAATCCAGGACGCTGCTGGCTCGATCCTTCGGGCCATATCTCTTGCTCGCTCCACAGGCACAGCACTTTCTCTTCGGGCTTTACTTCTTGGCACGTGCTTGTTTTTGCGCACCCCTCTGGGATATTGCTTCGCTGCAAGCATTTTACTGTTTGCTTTTGGCCCCAATTGCAAGGTGCCCTCTGTACGCTCCGCCCTCCTGTTACCCCTTGCTTACGCATACGTTTACTATGGTTTTCACTGTGCGATGCGAGGGACACGCCAAAAAAGCTGTCGTATCAGCCTATTTGTACCAACACTGTTGTTTTATGCCACATTAATTTATCAAATATTCTATTTTTTGATGCACTCGGAAAATATCAAGAGAATATAATTTGCTGAAGGCGTTCTTTCAAACTAACATAACAAGGGCGGGTTCTGGACGAGCGGCGGGAACATGGAAGAGCGTCAGTGGCAAACAAATCACTTTAACTTATTACATACACGTCCTTGCTCACCACGAACGGTGCTCCTAAATGGAGGAAATGCTGCTGAAACTGAAAGCACAAAGTAGTGAAGATGAAAATTGGGTAGATGACACAAAAAGAACACAGAACCAATAATAAAAGACGACGATGTAAGTACCCATAGGCGAGCTTGCCTAGGCTGGGAAAAACACTTCTGCAGCACAATGGTAGGATGAATAAGCAAAAAGCAAATTTAATTTTTTGAGGGATGACTCCTCATATTCGGATTTCTTGCTTACGTACTATTTTCAACACATGTCATCTCAAAAAAAAAAAACGATAACTTCTTTGCTCTGTGAGCTACGTCATAACCCCAAAAACCTCTAATCTTTGCACAAAATATTTTGAGTTTGAAAAGTTAAGACAAGTAACTTCAGTCTTGAGTTTGGGAAAAAAATGCGCTGCGATATTGCTGAAGACTGAAT